CGAGAAGCTTTCTGTGTTGCTCAATCTATAGGTGATGCGAGGCATGGGGCACCCGAATCCCCACTCCTCATGGTGAAGCAGAAAGCTGCCTCCTGCCGCCGGCCAGTCTTTTCCGGGAGACCTAAAAGAAACACCAACTTGCTTTTCTCTCTCTCTGCTGTGGCACTGTTTCTGACTTTTTTGAAAGTCTACATGGGGAAATGTCAATGGTTGTGGTCAGGAGCAGCCAGACCCTTGGGACGGCACTGGTACTTTCCCCTCTCCATGTAATGATCCTTGATTTATTTATGGTCATGTCAAAATCCATAATTTTGGCCCCAAAACCTGTTGTTGACTTATACATGGGGTCAATTTATATGTGAGTATATACAGTAGTAGGTCTTATTTAAAACTTAGGACATGTAACAAAGGCTTTACACAAAGCTCTGCAAAGCCTTTGTTCTTTTTTGCTGTGGCTAATTTGGGCACAGTAGCCATTCCTAATGAATTGTATCATGGTGGACTGTAACTGGAATTGTAAAGGTCAAAATAGAGCTTAAACAGAGTCAGCGAAGATATCTCACCAAAAAAGGGAACAAGCAGCTCTTTTCCAGAGCTAAGGTTGCAATCATAGAACAAAAGGACATTTAGCCTTGTAGCTGTTCTTCCAAGTCTGAAATGCAACATTCTAACCCAAAGCATCCTTTTAGAATATCACTTGACTGTACCCTTAGTATCATTAACCCTTGGTTGACAAGCAATCTTTGGATCAGGCGTGATATGCTGACCTTTTCACAAGTTGGATATGATCATTTGAAATTCCAGTTCCTGTAAAGGTACATGGTTTTATATCTGCAAAAGCTCATGTGTACTCTAATCGATACATTGGAGGATCTTTAAGGATTCCATAAAGATCCTCCAAGATATTTGTGTGTTTTCCACACACACATTTTTGTTGCTTTTGTGTGCCTTTAAGTTGTTTCATAGAGTTTGTTCAGAGCACATATATCCTGATTTTAATAACACATTGTATACATGTGTATGATTTTAATAACACATTGTATCGTGTGTTTTGTGTGTGTGTGAGAGAGAGAATAAGCAAGATAAGTTTCTGCTGCTTTATGTTGAAGATAGCTTTCAAATGAAGCTGAAGGCCTTAAACAAGAAGGAAGGAACTAAACACAAAAAAGGAGAGTAATTTTTAAGCTTGTCTGTTATTTTTGTATGAAAGGTGTTTTTAAAAACATAACACCATAATGACACCAGATTACCTCTGATTTTGGAAACTAGGCAGGAACAACCTGGTTAACACTTGGATAGGACACTGCCAATGAATATCAAGTACTGTGGGCTATATTTCAGAGGAAATGCCTGGCAAAAATCACCTCTATGTATTGCTTTTCTAAGGTCCCTTCCACACTGCCATATAATTCCAGATTATCTGCTTAGAACTGGATTATATGAGTGAACACTGCCATATAATCCAGTTCAAAGCAGATGATGTGGATTTTATATGGCAATGTAGATGGAACGTGAGAAGATCCAACCAGTCCAGGAAATAAAGTCCGACTGCTCATTGGAGGAAAGGATAGTAGAGGCAAAGATGAAGTACTTTGGCCACAACATGAGAAGACAGGAAAGCTTTGAGAAGACAATGATGCTGGGGAAAATGGAAGGAAAAAGGAATCGGGGCCAACCAAGGGCAGATGGATGGATGGTATCTTTGAAGTGACTGGCTTGACTGTGAAGGAGCTGGGGGTGGTGACGGCTGACAGGGAGCTCTGGTATGGGCTGGTCCAGGAGATCACAAAGAGTCGAAAGCAACTAAACAAATAAGCAACAACAAAGAAGGGGCCTAAGAAAATTCTATAAAATTTGTGTGGTGGCCATCAGTTGACAAAAGATTTAAAATGCACAAACATTTTAAATGGGAGTTTTGGGATATTGTCATATAGGGAAGATTGTCATAATGTTCCTGCAGTGGGAGGACTATTGGTTCATTTCAGCATGTAACTTCATGCAGAAGTTACCAGTTGTCTTCTTTTGTACCTTTCTATTGTAATAGAGGAGCTGGGGGAATCTCGTCTGTATCAGTACCTGTTTTGCCTTGAATATTCTCTGTGCATCTCCCCTAATCTCAAGTGAATCTACTCATCATTCTACCCTTCTCTCAATTTGTCTTATCCTGAATTGCTGTTTTAACAAATAAATGAATAAATCTCATGAAGCAATGTTTGTGGTGACACAACCTAGTTGGTTTTCTGAAGTGTGATTGTTCCTAGAAATGAGATAGAACAAACAGACAGAAGTTTTCAGTAATGGACAACATTTTGGGCAGTTATGCCATATGAAGTCTAAAATATGTGATAGAACCAGTTTGTGAATGCAACTGTATGTATTCAGACCCGGGTAGACTTGGTGTGATGATTTCTATTGTCCCATTGACCTGGAGAGAAGGCAAGAATTCAGGCTTGAATCTGTGCTTCTTCCAGAACAATGAATATTCCTGCTTGAGTCCATAGGTGCTTTCTTATGTAGCCCACAAAATGTTTTTGCCTCTAGCTGGCTATCTGTATTGTATCTTTTCATGACAGTGTTCTATTGTATAGTGACAATAACAACATTCTTTTAACTCGTCCCTTAGGAGGTTTTATTTTCATTTGCTTTTGTTTGTCATGTATAGCAATTGCCAAATTCTCTGTACCATCATATTGTCAGTTCTATTATTATTATTATTATTATTATTATTATTATTATTATTCAACAAGATGAGTCCACAGCAGACACTCTGCTGGCTGTTGTATTGGATCACACGTCGGACACGTCCCAAGTGTCTAGGACTGTGTGATGTATCAGCGAATAATGCGTGCGGATCCCAGTAAAGTGGCCTTTTGCAGCTGGCAGAAGGTAATTTTGTCAGCGCCGATTGTTTTTAAGTGCAGGCCAAGGTCTTTAGGCACGGCACACAGTGTGCCGATCACCACTGGGACCACCTTTAGTGGTTTGTGCCAGAGTCTTTGCAGTTCAATATTATTATTATTTATTAATACCCTGAGTTTTATCCCCACATTAAAAGCATTTCAATGCAATTCAAAATCTAAAAATATACAAACATTAAAACAGAATTAAATGTAAATGTAAAACATGTTCAAAGTTAAAAATCACAGCACCTTCTGACTTGATATTTAAACTCTTCTTCTTTAAAAACCTGCCTGAATAAAAAGGTTAGCCTGCCATCAGAAGGGCAGCAGGAAGAGGCCATTCTGTCTTCCCTAGGCAGGGAGTTCCAGAGTTGAGGGGAAGCCATTGAGAAGGCCTGCTCTCTCGTTCCCACCAACTGAGCTTGAGATGGAGGTGGGATCAGGAGAAGGGCCTCTCCTGAAGAACTCAGGGCCTGGGCAGGTTCATTGAAGGAGATGCGGTCAGCCAAATAGCCTGCACCTAAGCCATCAGAGGCTTTAAAGGTCATAACCAGAATTTTGCTGGTTGCTGTGAGTTTTCCAGGCTGTAAGGCCGTGTTCCAGAAACATTCTCTCATGACCACATCTATGGCAGGCATCCTTAGAGGTTGTGAAGTCTGGTGGAAACTAGGCAAGTGGGGTTTATTTATTTATTTATTTATTTATTTATTATTATTTATTTTATTTACAGTATTTATATTCCACTCTTCTCACCCTGAAGGGAACTCAGGGCGGATCATAGAACACATATATGGCAAACATTCAATGCCAATTATACAATGACAAGATAGACAATAGATAGAGGTATTATATAGGCTTTTCCCCATCTTTCAGCATCTTTGGAGGCCAAAAGATGTGGAATGTCCAGGGTGAAAGAAAGATCAGCAACCCATCTTCTAAAATTCTTCATTTTTTGATTAAATACTATTTTAGGTGTGAGAAATAAACTCGTACTAAAGTTTACTTGAATGTGCAGAAAACTTTAGGATGCGTTTTCTGTACATTCAGGAGTATAAACATTATAGTCAAATCACCATTTTGTCTGGTTATCCCATGTATTTCTTGTTCCACAACCCTGTGTTTTTTATGAGCTCCCTCTTGCAAATAACTTGCTCCTCTTCTTATCTCATTTGAGTTTTTTAACATTTTATCCTGCACATGTGGCCCGCCCACTGTCACTGTGATTGTGTTTATTGTAATGTTATTTTGTTACTGTATTCAATGTACTTACAATGTTGTTGCTTGTTGCTTATGTTTTGGTTTTATTTTGCTATCATATGTTGTCTGGGCTTGGCCTCATGTAAGAGCCGCCACAAACTAGCCTTCTGCGGGAGCAAACTGTGCCAGCACATCCCTGACGTCATGAGACTGCGCCTCTCTCCCCGCCCCTTTCTCCGCCTCTTTCTCCGTGCCAGAGTGGTTTTTCCTTTGCTAGGGCAGCATTGCCAGCATACTCTCGTTGTTGAATTCTGCCAACAACGAGTCTGTTCCGTTCAAGATTCCAGGATTCCAAGATTACAGGAGACAGGTCGGGGAGAGAGGCGAGTCTCATGACGTCAGGGACGTGCTGGCACAGTTTGCTCCCAGCAGGAGGCTAGTTTGCGACGTGTCTAAGCCACCCCGAGTCCCCGTTGGGGAGATGGTGGCGGGATATAAATAAAGTTTATTATTACTATTTATTATTGTTGTGGCATCAATCTTTTTCCTGATTAGTAACAAACAACATCCAAATGTGTAATGGGCATGCCATGTTTACCCACAGATCTTTACTTGTCTGCCTCTTTCTTTACTATGGAAAGATTAGATTTGAGTACGAAAAAAATCAATGAAGCAGCCCAATCTCAAAATCTAGTGTAATCTCTAGTGTAATTTCTAGTGTAATCTTGAGAAAAGCACATTATATTTATAAAATGTAATCTTACTTTTTCAAGATTTTTTTTAAAAAAACTTGCTGAAATAATATTATTTTGTTAGAAAATTGGTGTTTGCAGCTGTCAATTGTATTTGTAAGATTTGTAATGTGATCACTGTGCTCATGCCTTGTTTTGTTTTGTTTTGCAGATTGTTCATGCGCACAAGCCACATTTTATGGCATTACACTGTCAAGAGTTTGGTGGGAAAAACTATGAAGCATCCATGTCTCATGTGGACAAATTTGTTAAGTAAGTAACACGACAGATACAGTTCAAGTCTTGATGGTGTGCTTTCTTTGCTTAGATATCAGAATTTGGGGAGAGGGGAGATGAGGACGATAAAGAAAGAAAATTGAGACCGCCTTTGAAGTGATCATTCGAAAAGGCATTCAAAAAAGTTTGCTTTTTTTAAATGATGCAGCATTCTCGCTACTATTTAAATGTCTTATTTTGTTCAATACTTTAAGCATAATAGTCTATAAAGCTCTGGTGTTTTGGTTTGGTTTTACTTTTTAGAATGATGACCTTATGAGTTGATTAATAATAATTATAATAAATTTCTACCCCACCACCATCTCCCCAGGGGGACTTGGGGCTGCTCACAAAAGCACTCAAGGTGCAAACAAATAAAATACAGTAAGTGCATGACCAATATCACAATAATAATCACTTCACTTTATTTCTTAATTAGTCGCTCTCCACCAAGGTGCTCCGAGCGACTTACAATTTAAAATAGCATTTACACAATATAAAAACATTCAACATAAAAACATACAACAGTGACTATTTGGCAAATTAGATCTGATCACTTTACTTAAATGCACAACCAAACAGCCAAGTCTTGAGTGCCTTTACAAAAGGTCGCAACTCCGACATTGCTCTAATATATGGAGGCAATGAGTCCCACAGAATTGGAGCATAGGTCGAAAAAGCTCTACACCTTGTAGCTTCCAGGTGTACCTCCCTAGGGCCTGGTATGTATAGGAGATTTTCCTGGGTGGATCGAGGTGACCACTGATGGGGAAAAGGAATGAGGCGGTCCCTAAGATATAAAGGTCCTTGGCCATTTTGAGCTCTAAATGTCAGGATCAGTATCTTGTAAGAGATCCGATGTTCTATTGGTAGCCAATGCAGTTGTTGCAGAATCGGTGTAATATGGGATCTTATAGATGATCCCGCTAGCAGCCTGGCCACCGCATTTTGGACCATCCGAATCTTCTGAGTTGTTGACTTTGGAAGGCGTTGCAATAGTCCAACCTAGTGGTGACTGTTGCGTTGATTACTGTTGTCAATGCTTCTACCAAAAGGTAGGATGCCAATTTCCTTGCCTGGCGAAGATGAAAAAAGGCCTGCTTACTTATGGCAGTGATCTGGGCCTCCATCGTCAGCGATGAGTCCAACACAACCCCAAGGCTTTTAACAGTGGCAGATGGAACCAGAGCTTCCCCATCGAAATCAGGCAGAGACTGGATTAATTCTGGCAGCTGGCCAATATAGCAATAACAAACATAAAATCATAAATTCACACTAGTTAAAAATCAATAAAATGTATCGGTAGCTGCAGATATCAACTAATTGCAATCAGTATCAATCAGTCTATAAAGGATGAGGTGAGATAAACACTAATCCTCAAATATAATCAGTAAGGATTCCTAAACAAAAGTCAAAGACCTGTTTAAAGAGCCAAGTCTTCAAATTGGTTCAAAACTCTTGGAGAGTGGGGGCTAATCTAATCTCCATGGGGAGGGTATTCCAAACCTGGGGGACCACTACCAAAAAGGCCCCCTCTCTTGTCCCTAGTAACTGTGCTTGGGACGGAGGTGAGACCTAGAGAAGGGCCTCCCTGGCAGACCTCAAAGCCCACACTGGTTCATAGAAAGAGATGTGGTCTTGAAGATAGGCTGGACCTGAAGTGTACAGGGCTTTATAGGTGATAACTTGCACTTTGAATTGAGTCCAGAAACTTATAGGCAGCCAGTGGAGCTGTTTTAATAGGGGCCCTCCACATTCCCAGTGGTTTAGAGGCACAGGACTCCTGGAAAAGTGAAAAACAACAAGTAGAAATATTGCTTTTTTTTTGTTTATTTGTTTGTTTTAGTTTGAAATAACAAATAATTTCTCAGATGTCTCCAATGACTACAAGGTCAACTTCTGCTGGAAGCAGACTATAGAATTGCAGTGGGGAACCCACAGATTCCTAAAGAGTGTACATTTTAATAAAATATGTGAATAACATATGCAACACAATTTTTGTCCCTGAGATACAAACGTAATTTCCTAATTGGTTCTATCACAAAGCATGGAAAAGGTTTATTAAACTGCAAAAACTTTGTTTATATGGGATATCCTGCATCACATTTTGCTCTAGTTTTTCAATGACTATCTCATTGAGTCTCAACCAATTCAACCTAATTTGAAAACAAATTAATTCTGGAGTATAACAACTACTTTCAAAGTAAGTACCACACAATGAAACAGAAAATACTTTCAAACCAGGAGCAGAATTTGTTTCAATTTACATAGTGTAGTAAAATCTACAAAAGTCACACCTGCAAATGTGGACCGCTACTGTACAAGTTATTTCAGAATCTGAAGGAAATAAGTGGCATAGAGAGTTGGCTTTATGATCGGTCAGATCATTTGTCAATCTGACCTGTGTCTAGAAATAGCCCTTCATAATTTGACGCAGAAGCTTTTCCCATCACTTGCAAGCTGGTTATTTTAACGGGAAAATGCTAGAGCTTGGACTGCAATTTTCTGTATAAGGAGATTACAATTTACTGCTGAACTATGGTATGTTTATGGAGAGAAATACAAATGACTCTTGCAATCTGCTGTTGTTTGGCTCCAGGACCTACCATGGATGACAAAATTAATCAATGCTTGAGTTCCATTATAGACAATGGTGTAGTAAAAAGGAATTCCTCCTTAAAAGTTGCAAAATTAATATTGCTTTTTTCATTTAAAAATATTTTTAAGTTGAATCTGTGAATGCTGAATTTTGTGGATAATGGGGGACTAATTGTAGCAACACCCCTTTTAACAAGGGCAGTGTATATTAGGTGTAGATTATAGAATATGTTGGTTTGGTGATGTACCTGACTTTGAAAACTGCTGTATAAATTGTAGATTCTTCAAAGATCTTTGTACAAATGTGTTTGTGTGTGTATATATATACACACATATACTTACACACAAACATGCATATTTACATGTATGAGAAATATGAGAAATAGTGAGAAGGTAAAGAAATAATGTTGTATTACGTGTTTGACAAGAAAAAATGGAATCCACCAGGCTGTTATTGAAACGGAAACAGATTTTGATGGAATCATAGTTGGAAGAGACCTCATGGTCCATCCAGTCCAACTCCCTAGCAAGAAGCAGGAAAATTGCATTCAAAGCACCCCCGACAGATGGTCATCCAGCCTCTGTTTAAAAGCTTCCTAATAAGGAGCCTCCACCACACTCGGGGGCAGAGAGTTCCACTGCTGAACAGCTCTCACAGTCAGGAAATTCTTCCTAATGTTTAGATGGAATCCCCTTTCTTGTAGTTTGAAGTCATTGTTCTGTGTCCTAGTCTCCAGGGCAGCAGAAAACAAGCCTGCTCCCTCCTCCCTATGACTTTCCTTCACATATTCATACATGGCAATCATGTCTCCTCTCAGCCTTCTCTTCTTCAGGCTAAACATGCCCAGCTCTTTAAGCCACTCCTCATAGGGCTTGTTCTCCAGACCCTTGATCATTTTAGTCACCCTCCTCTGGATACATTTCAGCTTGTCAACATCTCCCTTCAATTAATGTGATTTAATGCTTTAAATGCATGTATTTATTGGATTTTATTATGTATTTTATTATGTGTACATTGGAGGCATCAAATTGTTGCCACCCTGAGCCTCCCCCCCCCCTTCCGGGGGTTGAGAAGGTGGGGTACAAATATCTGAAATAAAATAATAATAATAATAATAATAAAATACAATGATTTAATACTTTTTTTTCTTGAAAGTGTGGAAAACATGTTACCCTTGGCCTCATACATCTCCGTCCAAATTTTGTGGCTTCGGGTTTTTTTTTACAGAATACCTTATTCACCATCTCAATTTCATATGGAACCCAATGATTTTTGGTTCAAGAATTCTTTGCAAGTCAGCAGCAATGACCGCTATGCCTCTTTTCTCTAATCTTCATTTTATTAATAACATCCCAAAGTGTCGGACTTTTCTGTCCTGTCGAAAGCTTTCATGGCTGGGACCCCTGGGTTGCTGTGAATTTTCCAGGCTGTATGGCCATGTTCCAGAAGCATTCTCTCCTGACCTTTCACCTACATCTATGGCAGGCCTCCACAGAGGTTGTGAGGTCTTGTGTCCTGTGTTGTTTTTCTGCTGGTGAATCCTTTTCAGTCATTACATTCTCCATATAAACGAATAGGAAAGCATTTCTGGCTGGAGTTTTGTGTAAAATAGTGAAACAGTGCCCTCTGCTGACACGGATCATCAGATATTTGTTTGGTGGCTTTTTAATTGTTTGCTGTAGTATTCAATCAATACAATATAAATGTCCCAAAGGCACCAGATCCAGTTGGCCTTGGAATAAGCTAAGCTGGGTCAGCTCTGGTTAATACATGAATGGGAGACCACCAACTAGATTTCAGAGGGAGAACCTGTCAAAACAATCCCTGAATATAACTTGTCTGAGAAAGTTGTATAAAATTCACAGGGTTGCAAAAAATCAGTGAAGGCAAATACATACATATATTATACAACAACATTTCTTCTGTATGTTGTGTATACATTCTATTTTTAGGTTCGCTTAATTAATATTTCAGTAAAAGTCATATAGGTACAGGATCACATCAATATTTCAAAATATCAATAATATTCTGTAAACACCATTTGTACCTAAGTTTCCCCACTGATTAGAAAAAAATTAAAAATCTAAACTAACCAACCAGAAGGCTCCACCGTCGGGAATGGGAGAAGAAAGAAAGAGAGAAGACAAAAGCAGAAATAATGATGAAGTTGAAAATAGATATTGACTCATGATAAAGAAGATCGGAAGTTCCAAATTAATTTTTTTAGTATAGCAACCCTGACCCATGCCTCCCATATGTTATCCCCACTGTATACCCTACCTATACAATCTTTCCCACTCCCTGTATCCATAGGATAAGGTTTGAGTTTCAGATACGTATTAACAACTGTAGGTGGGTTGTTGTTTGTATGTTAGAGTTTTTTATGTATGTATAATTTCCATTTTTATGTATGTTCAAAATTTAATTAGCATTATTTTAAAAAATTAAAAATCTATATCTCCCTACCTCCTCTACATAAAGTTTAAAAAGAACAAATAAACATGCTAACCTAGCTACCAGCCCCAAAACCTTTCTATGAGAATATGCAGTCAATTTCTCACTATTAAGTATAACTACGCATCTTAACTTGCACCCTATAATACATAATTATTAGGCTTGGGCCTGAATCAATTAGAACGAAAATTATTTGTAATATCCAGTGTCCATTTCATAAAATCTCTGAAAACAAAACAGGCAAGAGGGAACCGAAAGCTCGGCAAAACAGATTAAGAGAGCCGGACTTTATTGGCTACTGGAGAGGATAGAGTTAAGTCTGCAATATACCTTAGGCAGGTCTACCATGAGGCTCCTGGAGAAGATGAGATTATTGCAACTTCTTTTTCTCTCCCCGATAACATCAGCATCAATCCATTTCTTTTTGGAAAGTTTCCTAGGCTCCCCCTATCACTAATAAAAACACTGAAAAATACAGTGGAAGAGACTTAAAAAGCCAAATAATAATAATAAAAATACATTACAACACATGCACAAAACCACATATATACACAAATATATACACACATGTATAAATACACAAAACACATGTACACAGACTGGGCCACAGCAATGCGTGGCAGGGGATGGCTAGTACAGTAATAATAAACTTTATTTATATCCCACCACAATCTCCTCAAAGGGACTTGTGGCGTCTTACAAGGCGCTCTAGGGTGCACATATAACATACAACAGGTAAAAACAGTACAAAAGTATAAAACAAGTCAAATAAAATTATAACAACAACCCTGGTCAACCCACGTAGCATTAAATCAAAATAATACAATTTTAAAACAAGTGGAGGAAAGTGCTGAGAGTGCCTTGGCATGCGAGAAGATCCAACCAGTCCATCCTACAGGAAATAAAGCCTGACTGCTCATTGGAGGGAAGGATACTAGAGACAAAGTTGAAGTACTTTGGCCACATCATGAGGAGACAGCAAAGCCTGGAGAAGACAATTATGCTGGGGAAAGTGGAAGGTAAAAAGAAGAGGGGCCGACCAAGGGCAAGATGGATGGATGGCATCCTTGAAGTGACTGGACTGACCTTGAAGGAGCTGGGGGTGGTGACGGCCGACAGGGAGCTCTGGCGTGGGCTGGTCCATGAGGTCACAAAGAGTCGGAGACGACTGAACAAATGAACAACAACAACAAAACAACAGTAGATAAAACGAACTGCCATCAATTCACAAGGTGCCAAGTGTCGGCTTCACATGGCTCATTCAACCTATTCAAGGTCAAAGGCCCGTCTTAACATTCATGTTTTCAGGTTGAAATGGAAAGACTGAAGGGTGGAGGCTAACCTAATCTCTTTTGGGAGGGTATTCCAGAGCCAGAGGGCCACCACAGAGAAGACCGTCTCTCTCGTCTCCACCAACCATGCTTGAGATGGTAGTGGGACCGAGAGAAGGGCCTCCCCTGTCAATCTCAGAGCTCATGCTGGTTTGTAGAGATGCGGTCTCGAAGATAGGTTGGACCCAAAGTGTATATCAGCCAATTAAAAAGCCTGTTTGTGTCCATGCTCTTATTGGCTGGGAATGGACACAACCAGTGTCTACAATTCCCAAAACCCTCTCTTGCAGTTTGTCTTATTTTTTAATAATGTTATGGTTAAAACTTAAAATAATTCTAAAAAATCAGTAGATTGGTGAATTGTTTTGAAACTTGGCAGGCCTGCAGTTGTAAATGGGGCAAAAAATTAGGTAGGTTTCATGCAGATACTCCTTAAAATGACTGAGGAATCAGCCTTTAAAGTTTCATATTGTAGCCAATGGGCTGAATTTTTGCCGAATGAAAACAGCAACACTCTCCCATTTCTAATAACTTCCCGGTAAACAGAATCAGGGGTTAGCCTGAAATGGCCGAATTGCACACCTATTTTAATTATTTATTCTCAGTCTTCAAAGCCCATAATCTAAATGTGTTTTGTTTGGGTTTTTTTGTCGTGTCAGGAGCAACCGCTCCTGTTGTGAGAGAATTGGCCGTCTGCAAGGACGTTGCCCAGGGGATGCCTGGATGATTTTTGATGTTTTATCATCCTTGTGGGAGGCTTCTCTCATGTCCCCGCATGAGGAGCTGGAGCTAATAGAGGGAGCTCATCCTCCTCTCCCCGGATTCGAACCTGCGACCTGTCGGTCTTCAGTCCTGCCTGCACAGTGCTTTAACCCACTGCGCCACCGGGGGCTCCGGTATCTAAATGTGTTTATAGATTCTGACAACACTATGTAAAACGATTTTTGTTCCTGGGTTATAAATATCATTTCCTAATTGGGTCTGTTATAAAAACATGGAAAACGTTTTTTAAGCTTCAAAAACTTTGTTTTTGCGAGACTTCCTGCAGCACATTTTGCTATAGTTTTTCAATGAATACCTCATAGAGTCTAAACGAATTCAATATAGTTTATGGCAGCCACAAAAACAAAGTTTCTGGAGTGTAATAACTACTTTCACAGTAAATACTGCACAATTAAGCCAAAATAATGCTTTCAAACCAAGAACAGAAAAGTTTTCCAATTTTGTTATATAGTGTTATGAGTGATTTGTGTTGGGCAGCTGACTGAAGGAGTGCAGAACCAAAGTGGAACATGGTAGGAGTACTACAGTAGTAATTCATGGTATGTTTCAATTTGTTTCCCCAAGATAATTGGTATGTGTTTTTGTTTTTATCGTTTGAGAATCTGATGGGACTTTAGTATGTTTTTGATTTTTTTAAAAAAAACTTAATAGGTTCTTAATACTTATAGGAATGTTCATTCTTTTCTCTTCTGTTCTGAATTTTCAGAGAATTGTTATCAAGTGATGCAATGAAAGACTACAACAGAGCCCGGGTTTACCTGGATGAGAATTTCAAGTCACAGGAACACTTTACGGTGAGTTTTCATGCGCAGTTTGTTCTTCAGTTCATGTTGGCATAACATTACTTCTTCATCACATGGGGAATATTTTCTATTTAGGCTGCAGCTTCAACTGCACTTGCTAATGGCTAAACCCTTCTCAATAAAATGGGGATTATGTTCTGAATGAGCGTGGAAACTATGCCATTCATCACTGCCCCATAGGCACTAATAGATGCATTCACTTAAGACCCCATTGGCACTTGGGATGAAATTAGTGTGCTTTAAATTGGTTTCCATTATGTCATATTTTGGCGACCGACATCTCTAATACTTTTGTAACAATGGTGGTGCCTGTTGTCAAAGGCTTTCATGACCGGAATCATTGGCTGCTGTGAGTTTTCCGAGCTGTATGGCTATGTTTCAGAAGCATTTTCTCCTGATGTTTTGCCCACCTCTATGGCAAGCATCCTTAAAGGTTGAGAGGTCTGTTAGATACTAGGTAAGTAAGGTTTATATGTATCTGTGGAATGTCCAGGGTGGGAGAAAGAATACTTGTCTGCTTGAGGCAAGTGTGAATGTTGTGCCACCTTGATTAGCATTGAATGGCCTGCAGCTTCAAAGACTGGTTGCTTCCTTCCTAGGAGAATTCTTTGTTAGGAAGAATCCATGAAAATGAACAAAATCTGGCTACCAGGATTAAAAAAACTCTAAAATCAGTAAATAAAGAGCAACACTAAAAAAAACCAGGGGATTTCCAGACAGGAAACAATCAAGGCCAGCTAACACCTCCCAACAAAGGATTCCCCAGGCAGGAAGCAGCCAGAGTCTTTGAAGCTGCAAGGCCATTCAATGCTAATCAAGGTGGCCAATTGCAACATTCACACTTGCCTCAATAAACAAGAGTTCTTTCTCTCACCCTGGACATTCCACAGATATATAAACCACACTTTCCTAGTTTCCAACAGACCTCACAACCTCTGAGGATGCCTGCCATAGATGTGGGTGAAACGTCAGGAGAGAATGCTTCTGGAACATAACCATACAGCCCGGAAAACTTACAGTAACCCAATGGTGGTGCTGATGGTGTTTTCCTGGTTATTTCTTCTGAAAATTTGCTACCTTGGTGGCCTTAGAACCGATTGCTTGGAGTGGATCATCTGCCTTAGAAAGCATAAGGGTATTTTATCTGGCAATTTCGTTTTTAAAATCCAGAAAACTCATCAATGACATGTTAGTTTCATCAACAGTTTTGCAAAGCCAAAGGCAGTTTGCAGAATCAAGAAAGTTCATGTTTCAACATGCTTGCAACATTTGCAGTTCAGCAACACCGTGTGCAAAGAGTTTTTGTCGTGATGCTGTAATAACATGCTTCTGTTTTAAACTGGCAAGCAGCATACCTTTGAAAGAGGCACAAATAATACAGTTGCAAAACTACGTATTTATTCATTTACTTATTTTAAAGCCATTTTCTAGGCGAGAAACCTTAACCTCTTGACTTACAAAAAAAAAAGAATAAAAGTATTTTGTCTTAATATCATAAGACATGGAGAGATACAGTTCTTTTCTATCAAAATCCTAATTTCTCTACTTATACATATTACTTCAACATTTTGATTTGACACTCTTGATTCCCCCTTCTTTTAATCCCCTTGGACTATTTCGTCTTTTGTTCTACCCCACTGAAATTTCCTTTCTTTAACAGATACATAATTGGTTCAATTTTGGCTGTCACTGAGATCATTCTCCAGTTGAGAGAGATGTAACAAAACTTTTTTTCTCTCTCTACTATTATCATCCTGATATCAATTCAGAGAGAAGTGTGGTGCACCTTTATTTGGTTAAAAAGAGTGTTGTGATATGATGTATTCCTTGTCTGTGAGTAAAAGACTAGGAGAAGCTGGTGAAATTACTTCATGATACTTTTTCTATCCTGGGAAAACATTGTTGTTGTCAAATAGGAGAAAGGAATCTGGGTGTTATATGCAGTATATGGAAAGGAAGAACAAATAAATTGGAGAGACAGATAAATGTTGATTTATGTTTTATTGTAAAGTTGATTTTATTGTTTATTTTTATATGTATGGTTGATTTGTGTTGTTTTAAAATGTTTTGAGCTGCTTCGGAAAGCAGGATATAAATAAAGATTTATTTATTATACATAACAAGATTAGTACACACCAAACAAGATCACTCTGCTGGCTGTTGTATTGGATCATACGTCGGACACTTCTAGGACTGTGTGATGTATCAGCGAATAATGCATGCAAATCCCAGTAGGATGGCCTTCTGCAGCTGGCAGATGGTAATTTTGTCAGCGCCGATTGTTTTTAAGTGCAGACCAAGGTCTTTAGGCACTGTACCCAGTGT